GCAAATCAAAACTATTCTAAGATTTCATCTCATTCCAGTCAGAGTGGCAGCTATCAAGAATACAAATAACAAGTGTTGGTGAGGATGTGGAGACAAAGGCACACATACATTGCTGGTGGGACTGCAAATTGATGCAGGCAATCTGGAAAACAGTATTTTCTCCTTGGAAAACTTGGAATGGAACCACCATTTGACCCAGCTATCCCACTCCTTGGTTTATACTCAAAGGACTTAAAAACAGAATACTACAGGGACACAACCATATCAATATTTATAGCAGCACAATTTTCCATAGCTAAACTGTGGAACAAATACAGATGCCCTTCAGTAGATGAGTGGATAGGGAAACTTTGGTATATATATGCAATGGAACGTTATTCAGCATCAAAAGAGCATTTGCATGGAAATGGATGGAATTGGGGAATATGATGCTAAATGAAGTAAGCCAATCCCAAAAAACCAATAGCCAAATGTTTTCTTTGATATGAGATGCTAAATCATAATGGTGATGTTGCAGGGAGAATGGGAGGAATGGAGGAACTTTAGATAGGGCAAAGAGGAGGGAGGAGAAGGGAGGGGGCAAAGGGGTAGGAATGAGGGTGGAATGAGTTAGACATCATTACCCTAAGTATATGTATGAAGACATGGTGTGAAAATATTTTGTGTACAATCAGTGACTTAAAAAATTGTGTTCTATATGTGTAATAAATATGAAATGAATTGCATTCTGCTACTAATTCTAACAAATTAGAATAAATAATAATTTAATTAAAAATTTTTGAAAATTCAAAAAAATTTATAACTTAGTGTAACTTCTGATTTTGAAAAACTCTAAGAATTCGTTAAGCTGTCCTTCTGCAGTTGCTTGCCTGCCACCAATGGTCAGGACAAACGTGCATCCCTAAGCTCATGCATCCCAGGCATTTCATTTCTTTATAATTAGGGTATGACCAGTGCTGGATCTTCAGCAAGACAACCCAATGACTCACTGATTCTGGGGAGTGAAGATGCACTTAGAATTTTTCAACTAGTATAAAGAGTACTCCCAACTGTAGTAATATTTGGCAAAGTAGATAACTTATAAATAAAAAATAATAATTATAATTAGTTGGAAAAGCTGAATCTATTTAAAATCTAAAAATAAAAGACAAAATATGTTTCATGATGATCCCCAAGTGGGAAGTTACTCTGAATATACCAAAAGGTTTTTGTTTGGTATACATAGTAGTAATGTATGCAGACAAATTTTAAAAAGTTATTGATTGATGAAAATAAGCTTATAAGAGTTCTACTCAAATTTTTGGTAATCATCTACACCCATTAGTAGATAATGCATACATTGTTGGTCCAAATCAGAAATGTTCAAGGTGTTTGGTTAAGGTTTCACTGTAAAGAATGTTATATCTTAGGAAGACAAGGAAATATTGCATTTAATCAAAAGATTTTTATGGGAACTTCTTAGTGTTATGTTTTGGATAATCACACACTAAGCATGAGAAAATAAAAAACTAATCTTAAGCTTGTAAACTGCATAATCTATAACCACTAAACAAACATACATAGATACACATACACACACTCACACAACACAAAAAAAAAATCAATCTAATATTGATCTTCCTATTTAACATAGAGTATTTCACTTCCAAGCATTAGTAAACTCCAATTCTCCAAATAAGATAAGGCATTTGAATAGATAACTTACTCCTATTTGTAATTAACAGCATTAACACTTCACTGAGTTAACACATCACTCAATTTCTCACAAAACTTTATTAAAGAGTGGGTACTTATTTTGTAATAAGGAATAGGTATTTCCCTCATTTAATAAGATTATTGAGCCTGGGCACAAAGTGTTGTTCTTGAGCACATTTTGCTTCCAAGGACATCTTGAGACCACTAAACCCTGGCTGCTGCTTCTACCCAAGGAGCTAAACTTGGAGGCTCAATCATAGTAGACTGACATAAGTATAGATTCCACTGTATTTCACTTCCACACAGATGGAGAATGCACAGACCTTGAGACCACCTCAAGTTAGGACAGAGAGCCAAAAATCAGGAGGATAGGCACTAAACCCAAGACTATCATTTAGGTTTCTTTGTTTTCTGAGAAGTCTGTGTCAACACAACCCAACAGTAGGCTAGGAAAACCTGGGCTGAGTCACTTCTCCTCTTCAGTATTTTTCTAGGTATATCTCAGGCCTATTCAATGAATCCTAAATGGGGCTCAATAGACCTACTGTGAAGCCCCAAATTTACTTCTTATCACCTATGATTTATAAGTACTTTTACTTAAATAGTAATTGATCCCCTTGCCTATGAAGAGTTCTATGTTTTATAATGTATTTTCCAGAACTAAAATTCTTTTTAAGATTATATCTAAAATTAAATTCTTATATTCACTTGAGGTTTATAATCTCTCCCTTAGAATTAAGTCCAGACAAACAGATAATGAAAATTAAATCTACTATTTCAATTCTAAGTTAAAGAATACATACATGTACAAATCTGAAAATAAAAATTATTATATACTGCATCATTAAATTCAGATGCTCTTGATGTTGTGACCACTTAAGTAGTAAAAGATTTGGTAAGCATTCATGTATGTGGTAATTCCTTAATATCACAACAGGATGTTTCAGAGTTATTACTTTGCTTCCTCATGCTGTGCAAATAGCAAAATATCACAGCAAAAATGAACAGGGAAATCCTAAATATATTTTTTAATTTATCACCTTTATTGTTGGTCTGCAAAACAACATGTGATATGAAAGGAAAAGGGGCTTTATGGTCAGATGGGTTTGGCTTCCACTTCTAGCATCATCAATTACCACCTAGATGACCTTAAGCAATTATACATCCACCAATTAATATCAACTTCAGGAGGTCAGGAATAATTTTCTTTGACATTGCTGTATAACCAGTAGGACCCAGCATATTGGAAATATTTGTTCACAGAATGAGCCTCTGAGAATCTCAGTTTTTCATGAGACATAAAGATAATACCTTATGCTTTACTCTAGAATTTAAAAGACAATTTGTGTGACAGCCATTAGCACAGCCCATGGTATCTAATAGGCATTCAAAATATGCTTGTTTTTTTTCCTTGGCCCAGTATAAAATAACACTGAGTCACTAAAAGGGAAATATATCCCTCAAAAATACTTATTTTAGGTATAATAGCTATAAAAGCAATGATGCATACCACATAGTTTTATGTCAATTAACTTTAAATTAAGGAATATATCAACTCCTGAAGATATAAAATGCTCATTATTCTCCTATTGTGTCAATGGAAATTACTCTATTTTCTATGAGCACTTTGTACCAACTCAACATCTTAATTTCTGTACAGAGTCTCAAGAGAATGCTTTCACTCAAAGGTAAGCTGCTTTACTAGATTTGTAGATCCTCACAGTCAAGGACAGAACCTTACAAGTAATATCTGGATAAATCATAGAAAATTGCTGATATTTGGCCACTTATGACCTATAAAAGTGGCAATTTCATGATGTTCAGCCAGTAGCCAGTCCACAAATAGTCTCCTGCCCACTCCATCTTCCTCATTAAGATTTGAGTAGCCAGTTGCAGTGGTGCATACCTGTAATCCCAGTGGTTCCCAAGGCTGAAGCAGGAGGATCAGAAGTTTGAGGCCAGCCTCAGTAAGGCCCTATCCAACTTAGCAAGACCCTGTCTCAAATTTTAAAAAGTGGGGAGAAGGGAGGCTCAGGACCTGGTTCAGTAGTTAAACAGCCCTGGGTTCAATCCCCAATACCAGAAAAAAAAAAAAGAAAGATAGATAGATAGATAGATCCAGGTTGAATGCTACTTCCTCTATAAGGATTCCCCAGCCATTTTGTGTTTCTACTCTGTTTTGCTATCTATATCACTATGGAAAGTAGTATAAATATTCCTTAGAAAACTTGGAATGGAATCACCATTTGACCCAGCTATTCCACTCCTCAGTCGGTCTATACATAAAGGATTTAAAATCAGCTTACTATAGTAACATAGCCACATTAAAGTTCATCGCAGCTCAATTCACAATAGCTAAACTGTGGAACCAACCTAGATGCCCTTCAATAGATGAATGGATAAAAAAAAAAAAACTGTGGTATACATACCAATGGAATATTACTCAGCATTAAAAGAGAATAAAATCATGGCATTTGCAGGTAAATGGATGGAGCTGGAGAATATCATGCTAAATCATGTAAACCAATCCCCAAAAAACCAAAGGCCAAATTCTCTGATAAGTGAATGCTGATCCATAATGATCCATAATGGGGCAGGGGGTGGGGGGCAGGAGAAAAATGGAGGAACTTTGGGCATAAGGGAGAGAGGGGAAAGGGTATAGGGGCAGGAAAGATGGTGGAATGAGATGGACATCATTACCCTAGGTACATGTATGACTGCATATATGGTACCACTCTACATCATGTACAACCAGAGAAATGAAAAGTTGTTCTCCATTTGTGTATAATGAATCAAAATGCATTCTGCTGTCTTGTAAAACAAATTAGAACAAATAACAAAAAAATATCAGAATTTATTCCTATGGGTGTGTCTCTGTTTTTGCCTAAATTAAAAGCAAGCAGTTATTCAATTCAAAATTTATAGGTACATTAAAAATTCGTGTTTCTCAAGATCTTTCATTTGTAAAATTCACTAATTTTTTTTCCATTCTAAGGATCAAACCCAGGGCTTCATGCGTGCTAGCAAATATTTCACCACTAAATTATGCTCCAGCACAAAAGAACTGGTCTTTATTAGGAGTCATCTTGTACGTAAATCAGGCTTAAAAAAAAAAAAAAAACTTGCATGGCCAAAACTTTTCTCACATTTTTGCCAGAAAGAAATCAAATAAATATATGAATTACACACAACCAAAAAAAAATCATGAGGAATTTGAAGTTAAAAAATATAAACAATACAACAATTATCAGCTATGTTTATACACCACTAGATTTTATTCAATAACAATAACAAGAAAAACTTACCAGTCTCAGAAGTTCTTACAGATAGTAATGCAGATGACTGATTGCCATGACCAAATTTGGTATACGACCTGACAGAAATGTTATAGAGAGTGTAAGGTTTTAAGTCCCTTAAAGTTATACTTGTTGTTGAGGTGTTCTTTATAAGCAAAGTATCCATATTTTTATAGAGCACTTCATAAGCAACAATAATCCCATTAGGTTTTTCAGGTGGTGACCACTTTAACCTTATTTCACTTGCAGATACATCTATTACTTCAACATCTTGGGGTGACGATTCTGGCTCTAGGGGAAGAAAACAAAATATTAAGCACATTTTTTAATGCTTATTCCTTCAGACATGGAAGAAGGAATGAAGTAGAGACAGTAGCCATGTAATATCACTCTCTTTCTTTCTTTTTAAGTTAAAATTGCACCTTATATTCTTACCATCTTCGGGAGTTCTCACAAAGATCTCATTTTCTTCAGACAAAGAGCTTTCTCCAACATGAGTAGAGGCAGCCACTCTCATTTTGTATTTTGTGTATTTCTTTAGCCCTGCAAGGATAATAGGAAACTGTTTAATGTATTAATGATATTTAACATAGGGAAAGTACAAATGATTTATTGGAGGGATTGTTATCTAAATCAGATTCCATATAATCCCAATATCCCCATATTCCTTGAGCTTTTTCAGCATTTCCATGTATATGATGTCTAAGTTCTTTCCTAAAATAGTAAGACACTAATCTAAAGCTGAAAAATAACTTTTGGCACATAGAAAGGGGAATGGTTGGCTTGGCAATACTTCAGCTGTTCACATTCATTCAAATCTTCAACAGTGAGTTACTTCAGTGTGCCAGTTGTAGTATTTCCTCAGTTAAGCAAATTTCTATGAAACTTTGATCAGATGCTTTTTATACCTTTGTGGGTAAATACAGTTAAAGAAAAACATGTTTAATCAAGTTATTTCTGCAAGTATTTTTGAAGATATCCATGGATCTGTAGAACAACAAAATCTGAAATGATATTGCATGAATCCTGTCTTGTTTAAGGTATAAAGAGATGCATATTTCCATCAAATTAGGAATATTAAAAAAAAAACATTTTTTTGCTCTACCTGTTATGAGAAAGCTGTTATCTATAGTAGTCATCTGGAATGCTCTGTTTGTATCCAGTTCCATTGCATAAATGGTATAATGGGTTATTTTTCCATTGGGATATTCAGGAGGATCCCAATATAGCAAAATAGATGAAGAACTAATATTTTTATAGTTTATAGTTTGAATGGAGCTTGGCACTTGAAAAGAAGAATGAAAAATTAATATGAATGAAAAGAAAAGCATTATAGTATGCAAGAGCAGCATTTGCAGGTAACTATTTCAAAGGAAACACAGTCTTACCTTGTTCACGCGTCCTAACATTGAGAACCGTTGGTGGTCCTTCTCCCATGATGGTGAAAGCAGATACACTAATCATGTGCTCAGTGAAAGGAGCAAGTCGCCTGATAACGTAAGACAGCTGTTCGGCAGCAATGTCAGTGATATACTGATTCCTTGTGGTTACTGTTTGCATCAGTGAGGAGAGAAAAAAAATGGGGGGTGTTATTAGGAGAGCTAAAGAAATGAAAATTTTATTTGGATTCAAAACCATTTCTGTTCAGTGAAAACTGAAATCACATTATTCATTAATCTCTTCATTTACTTCTCTCTATATAAAATATAGATCATAATTAACAAAAAATATAAAATCATTGATTTTAGAGATCATATTGAATATTAGTATGAATTCTAAATATTCCCCCAATAATGTCTACAAACACATTGTGCTCATAATATAGCATCATTAGTTGTCATATACTATTCTGAACATGAAATTAGTGCTTTGAGAAAATATAATTTTCTATGGGAGACTGTCTATGATTTTTTTCTGAAAACAAAGATTAGACAATAATATTAAATTGAAATATTATAAATCAACAGTTTATTAGGAGAGCTAAAGAAACGAGAATTTTATTTGGACTCAAAATTCACCATACATTCACTAGTCCCAACAATTTCCTCAAAGCCAGCATCCTTGAATAACTGAAACATAAATATGACTTAACAGAGATGTCAAACTTTAAATTTTTACTTAATTTAGAACTGGTGCTTCCAAAATGCTTAATTAACAATTAGACAAAATTTGAAGTATGTTAGGAGACATCTTTATCAGAAATCATGGACCTCTTAATTTGTAGTGCTGCCCCTAGTCAGTTTTGCACTAGAAAAAAAAAAAAGATTGGTAAATGAAATAAACATGTATCTAATAAAATGTGATTTTTAAACTAATTCTATCATAAATAGAATAACACTTAATTTGGAGTGAGAAAAATGCCAAACCTGTGAAAAGGCAATGAAATAAAATATTCTTCTTAACATTTTATAAAAATCAAAGAGATTATCTAGAGCTGTATCATATAACCAAATATTTTTAATTTGTCACATATGACACTGTCCTTTTAGAAACAATAAGATCCACTGACCCTGAAGAGCAAGTGTATACGCTAATGACATCACCACATCATTGGGGTCACCTACACCTGTTTACCACTCCATGCACTAGAGTTGTAACTTTCTGACCTATTTACCTTTAGTGACATTTGAAAACCTATTAGTCAAAAGCTGCAAAGAATGTGAGGCCTGTAAATGATTTGAAGATATGTTAATCCCTTCCCATCACACCTGCTTTGGCAACTGTAATAACTGATTGTCTATGCAGCTTGGCCAAAGACTCTAGGGTGCTACTTTCTCTAGGAAGAAGGTCAAATGGGTTAGGTGGGGCCAGCTCCTGCCTGTGTGGCATTTCCATTTGCTGAATGAGGTTAACTGACGGTTGAAAAAAATTTGACTCCAGCCCATGGATCATTAATAATATGGTTGAACTTTAAGCTAAGGTTCACATCTCTGCAAGCTATTACTGGTGGTTTCAATGCATTTCATAGAGAATTAAAATTTTACCTACCTATGGGTGAATGCTGGTCTTCAGCTCTACTCCTTACAAGAAAGTTATTATGTACATCATTGTTATACACAAATGAAGCCAGTGAGTGCAGATCAGAAGACATCTCTGCTGAGCCCTCATAAAATCCTATCATTGGCTCCACAATATTCATCATTTCTGGAGACATGGGATCATTTATATACTGTAATTAAAAGTAGATGTTTACAATGACTAGAAATTCAGTTATACTTAATGACTTGTAGCTATGGAGACACATATTTTGAAACAATATTATTTCCATAACTATTGCCTTCTTTATGTTATAAGATTTCATTCTCCAGCTACTAAAACTCTGCACCACCGTAACACATTGTGATCACTCTACTTCTCGAGAACACACTGTATTTTGAGAAGAAGCAGGTATTTGTTTCTGACTTGAGTTATTTCTGTATGGCAAGATTAGACAACCTTATGTAAAAGTTTCACGACTGAAATCCTTTCAACTTCTCATCCCACAATGGGAGGTGTTCCAGGCATCCTGACTTATTAAAAATGTGTTTGTTTTTCCTATCTAAGAATCTTTGTTTGTATGACAGGTACGAGAGGCTTGCATGCCTATTTGTAATTGTCAATGACAATAATTTATCTAACTAAAGTTACAGAAAAGAATAAAACTGCATGGTAAGAGTTTTTAAACAGGGGCCATGGCAAATCTATCCACAGTTCTGGACCTATGAAACATTATAAGTAACTGCCATTGTTCCTAGATTCTATAATGTAATTCATATATGTCAAGGTCCACTAGTGGCAGATAATGTAGCGAAGGCATCAGGAGCAGACTGTGGCTCGAGGAGAAGGTCTTGCTGGGATAACAAGATGCCTTTCTCCCTATCCATCCCTAGCAAAATAACTGATTGAAACAGAATGGGAAAAGATATTTTGGTCAAAAAATATCAGATATTTATATAGAATGTCAATGTCAGAAGTCAGGTTTAATATTAATAGAAGAAAATATTCCCTAAAGAGACTTTATACCCACTGCAGTGCAGGGCCTTTGTTGGGATTCTAATTTGAACATCTCTCTCTAGATAGGCTTTAGTGATAACCAGGGAAATTTTAATATGCTCTAGGTATTAAATGATGCCAAGACAATATTTTTATTTGTTAGTTGTAGTCATAGTATTATTAAGTGGATGAAAATGCTCATTTCTTAAGAGTATTTTTGCTTAGCCACATAGGAGAAAAATAATGTGATGTCTGGAAATTTATTTTAAAATACAACTGCACTACCAACAGTCATGGGAACCAGCTGAGGATGCTGATAACTTTTTAATCCATGTGCATATATGGAGACATACTGTACTCTTCTTCCACTTCTAGGCCTGCTTGAAATTTCCCAAAATAAATGGTTTTTGTTTTTTTAATGATGCAAATTCACTCTTTAATCAATTCCTTTTCAAGTTCTGCTTCAAAACTCACCTACAAAGCCCTTTCACAAAGAATTTATTCTATTCTTTATCAAGTCTCTGCTCAAGCTTCAACATTTGTAAGTATTTCATAGTATAGGATGTGAGTTTTTTATTAAGTGGCCCCTGTCTTTTAATTACTTTATATGTTTTTGAGTTGTCTTAATTCCTAGAGCCAAAAAAGGGTTGATCATTAACATCAAAGCACTTAGTGTTTAAAAAGACAATTGTGGATATCCAGGAAAAAATTTTAGGAAGGCAAGAAATTTTAGGGCAGTTCAGTTAATTCAAAAATCTGCCAAGGCACCTTATTTAAACACTGTTTTCTGATAAATTAAAGAATGGAGACATAATTCAAAACAATATCCATCCTTCAAATGACATATATAAAATAAAATTACCTAAATCATTTTGCACCTTAACCACAAAAGGATTCTGCAGAAAAGCAGGGGACACAGAGGAGATCTAAAGGGTTGTGATAAAGCGCCCTGGACGGGGAGCCTCACAGAGGATAAGGTGAAGATCTTCTACCTTCCAACAGCTCACTTGAGCTCTGCCTCCACAGGGGAATTAGAGAGGGCACGAATCACAAACACATAATTCAGAGATGCTCTGGTATTCCAGTCAATAGTTTATGCCTGAGCCCCACAGCTGTTTCCACCATCAATCAGTCACCCTTTGAGAATCCAGTGTGTACAAAGGCCCTATGAACAAGACACTGAGGTAACACAAAGAATTTCCCCTTGAACTATGATTTTTTGCATTAAATCTCTCCATGTTTTCTTCTTCATGTCAGATAAATTATTGAGAGGTAAACCATAGCATTCCATCAATTAGCTAAGTAGTTCTGTAGACAAACTTCCATTTTAATGTAAGAGTTAACATGAGTACTTTTGACTCTGAATTTCTCCCAAATTGTAGTTTTCATTGAAAAAATCCTCCACATCTCAGACAGTAATTTAAACATTGGTTTTGTAACAATCTAGAATATCACCAATCATCATTAAGTGTGCCATGTTGTAAATACCTCTCAGGCTTTGCCTTGTTCAAAAAGACATTAGATTGGATATTGGGTTTTTCAAAAGAGAAAATGAAGTAAAAATTTTAAGGGCAAAAATGATTGGAAAGAATGAAAACTTAAGAGTAATGAGAAGGGGTGGAAACATGGGTGGAAAAGCAGTAACTGACTGGGCACAGTAGCACATACCTATACATGACTACTGAATTTCTCAGAACAGTACACTAAAAAGGGGAAATATTACTGTATGTAAATTATACTTCAATAGCTTGACTTTCAAAGAAGCAGATTTTTTTTAAGTGATGGGAAAGTAGCCCAGTACAAGGGCACACAGCTGTAATCCCAGCAACTCAGGAGGCTGAGGCAGGAGGATTCCAAGTACAAAGCTACCCTCAGCAACTTAGAGAGGGCTTAAGCAACTTAGTGAGGCCATGACTCAAAATAAAAAATAAAAAGGGCTGAAAATGTGGCTTAGTGGGTTCTATCCTCAATAAAAAAAAAAAAAAAAAAAAACCTAAAAACAAAAAAGAAAAAAACAGGGAACTGGAAGTTAAACAAAGCTCATTGCAACATTTAAAAGTTTGGGATCCATCAGTGCAGTGCTACTGACATTCTGTATTAGATAATTTCATCATGGGGAGCTATCCTGTGCAGCATAAAATGTTTAGCGATATCCCTGGTCCATAACTACCAGAAACACCCTCCCACTTGTGACATTTAAAATGTCTTCAGAGATTACCATATGTCTCCTGGAGAGCACAGTTGCCCCCAGTTGAAAACCCTTGAGTCAGAGAATGTCACAATTCATCAACATGAAAGGCCTTGCATATGCTACCCGGGAATCCTTGGAATTTATGTGAAAGAATTAGAAGTCTTCAGAGTTAAATTCCTAATCCACCTGAATAAACCAATTTGATTTTACATATAATAATCTTTGTTAAAGCAAGTGCAATTTTTTTTTTTTTAAAAAAAGCTATTATATCTATCAATTTAGACTCACTGGAGTTCTAGTGAATTGAATTAATGAAATTTTTGACTTATTCTTAATACTTCTATTTTAAAATAGACATAATTGATACCGTTAAGAAGTAATAAAAAGAAAGTTTACAATTAGCACATGTCTGGAAACTTCCTTAAGGATACTGTGCCATTCTACACATTGTTGTAGTGAAGGAATCCTTAAGGCTCCCTAAAGTAAACACACCTCAAAGGCCTACTAAGTAAGGTTCAGTCCTCGGCCTCATTTTGTACCAACTGGTGGGGCACTTAGCTGGCTTTCTTCCCAGGTTCACCAGCGACAAACTTTGATATACTCAAGGAGTATGTACAATGAAAAGATGTACTGACATTAATACCAGAGGTTTATAATACTTAGGCAGCAAAAGAATGTCTATTGGAGGAAAAATGTTAGGCTTCTAATAGAAGAACAAGTACAGGATGAAATCAAAGTGTGAAATTCAATTAAAAAATAGCTTCTTGGAGGGATGACTTTAAGGGTTTTCAGACTTCAGACCCAAGGAAATTAATTTTTATGTTTGACTATTTTGGTCAAAGGAGAAAATAATCCCACTCGAGTTGAGTCTAGTTAAATGCCATACAGAATATTGTTTTCATTTGAGTGAGAGACTTATTGACAAACCAGGAAATACACATTGGAGAATAATCCATGATAAGAAGGACCTGAAATCATAACTTGTAAAAACAGGATATAAAGCCTTAGGGAAACTATGTCCATGGTTCCATCAAAGACAAAAGTTAAATTGTTATGTAATATTTTTATTATTTAAAAGACTAACATTTCAAGATATTGTGTGTCCACTAGAATGTTAAACACTTTGTCCCTGTGATCTCACTTCATTAGATCCTAAAGAGGTATTAACTCCACTTTACAGTCATGTATTCAAGTTCATAAAACTGTTGATAGCAGAGGTAGGACAGGAGCACATTTCCGTGGTTCCAAGTCTCCTGATCATACCACTGTAATCTATGATGTGGGTCCAGAGAGCAGAGTCAGGACTAACTAACTGGTAAACATTATAGGTCAAATAGCTCAAAGCAACTGAATAACAAGGCAGTTTCTTGTTCTCCTGTGTACATTCTGGGCCTAACAGAACTTCACTGTCACTTGATAAACAGATGCTGTGGGATCATAAAGAAGAATGTTTTAAAGCTTATTGACTAGGAGCTGCTTTTATGGTAATGAATACCCAATCATCAGAGTTGATCAAATACTTTAACAGAGGCTGGATTTCTAACCATTCCTTAGGAATGCTATAGATGAGGTTCATATATAAGTTGAGAAGCTGAAATAAGTCTTCAAGCCCTGAGATTCCATTTTTTAACATAATTTTTAAAATATCCATTTAAATATCAAAAGTAAAATCTTACACATATTTTGAATTGTTTAAATACACCCTACTTATTAAGATACAAATAAAGCATGAAGAGTGAATGGAAAAAAATTCCATAAAGGTTATGAGACCAGATCAAGCCTAGCATAGGAGGATTATATTTTAATATTTTTAAAGGTTCATCATTGGGATATAGTCACATGGTTAACAAAACTAAAACCAAGGAGTGATGAAGAATTTGTAATGAAAATAACAATGCTGTTCATATTTTTCCTATTTCAAGCCTTTCTCCTCAGAAGCAACACTTCTACCCATTTCTACTTCTTAGTGTTTATTCAATCACTAACAGCATGTTCACACACTCCATTATGTTAGCATTTATTGACTTTCTTCTTTTTATGATAGTGAGGCATTCTCAATTTTTATTTTGTTATTTTTATCCTGTAAATAGTATTCTAAAGACTAGAAGGATAATTTTCATGGGTATGTGAAACATGAGGCAGTGGACTGGAACAGTATGGTGGTAGCCTCTCAGGGGGTCCTGTCATCCCCACCAACTGCTATTGATGCTTTTGCATACTCTCTCCCCTTGAGTTAGAAGAGACCTGTGGCTTGCATGTAACCAATAGAATAATAGGGATAGAACGTCACTCCCATAACCATTACCTTATATAGACCCTTCCTGCTGGTTTGCTGTTCCTTAAACAACCTTTATGTCAGAGACCAAGGGAGTACACAGTCTAAGGGATGAGGGAATTCTAAGCCTGCAACTCTACACCAAGGCTTTAAGTCAGCCACTCCTCAGACCATGTTCTTCTCATACTTGTCTGGATAGACCTTTTTCTTTTGTGTCCTGTGGAAGCCTCACAAGTCACCATTGTTGTCCCAGGACTTCTGTATTTTCAGTATCATGCTTCATCAGTAATTCACAACCTTCTTCTCACTTCCCATTCCCATATCCTATTATCCCAAGGAGGAGGGTTGTTTTGTTTTATGGGGAGAAATTAGTTTAGATATAATGAACTGTGCCAGAACCTTCCCACATCAGATACAAGTAGAAATTCATAATGTCAGAGAGAAAGGTCAGAGTGCAAAGCCAGGCAAAGGAATCACATACAAACAGGAAGCAGTGACTGAAACTGTGAAACCATACAAATGAGTGTTATAAGGTGGCTGAAAACAGAGCCCCCCAGAACACCTGTATCATAGAGTCAGAAAACAATAATAAGAACTAGCTCTTTTATTTTCTTCATTTTTAAATGTTTAAAGCCAAAGTATTGCAAAATCACAACACAGAAAAGCAGAGGAAGTAATAAGAAGAAAATAGTGATGTGCTAAGGACACAGGCCATCTGGATTTAGAGCATCTGCTACTTTCATCTCCCATCACTCTCCTGAAAGGTGAACTCAAACACCAATCACATGGGAAAGCATATGTATCAAAAGTGAGTTTGATCTAACAAAAAAGATACTATCACAAACATAAAGTAGAATGTTTCCTTCTACTGAGAGAAGATAAGGGAATATTGAATGTCAAGTAGAGTGAAAGGTCCAATACCAAGAATCATAATCAAAACAGGTCACAATAATTAGCATACCACTATGTGCCAGATACAGTTCTAAGCTCTTTGCATACATTAACTCATTAAATCCCCATCATTAACCCTTTGTTCCAGGAACCTATAACCTCTGCTTCAAAGAACAGGAATCTGAAGTTTGCAACTATGCCAGGATTGAGTCATTGGTAATGGCAGAACTAGTTGTCTCTTGGGCTTACAAGCAACTCTTTTGCTATCCACACAGTAAGAGACTAGATCCACATCAGGATTTAAATCCAGATTTGTAGGCTCCAAAGGATATGTTCTCTCTACATCACAGGAATTGCATACCAGATAGAGGCAGAATCACAAGCCTTTCTATAATCACTTAGCTTCAAGAGAAAAACAGGTCTGGCTGGCCATTCAATAGATGTTATCAGCATAAGTGGGAGACCTGTTACCTGGTCCAAAGAAGGTTTTGTCTAATTTAAGACCTTCTCAGCAGGAATAAAGGTTTAAGCTTTTGCCCTTTGCCTGAGTTTTCAACTAGAGTATCAGAGGAAGCATAACTCAACATCCTTTACACAGAGGAAAGGAGTCAACACAAGATTAAAATTTAATCCTGGGATGGAGATGGTGAGCAACTTGGACTGACAAGTCCTGGTGGCCAGAGGGCACTAACTACATGGTAAGGTCAACTTTCAAGTGTCAGAACTGTGGGACTAGAAATAGAGTATCAGTAAGTGTGGGGAAAAGTAACAGCACAGGTAGCAGGAGCAGCAATCCTGAACCCTAACAATAGAAGCCAGTTATTGAATAACTTTTAGGTATCACTTAAGGTCAAATGATGGCTGCACTCGTCCTAAGTATGTTTATTCTTTTGAGTGCCCCAGGGAGCTGCCAGTACCTCAACATGACTAGCCTGGAGGCTGAAGGGGTCTTCACCAAGTGAGCAGCTGGATAAGTGAGGTAAACAGAGATACTGATGCCAAATCACTGCTGCCTGCACTTCCCAGCACAAATAAAGGGTGGGGGGAATGAGATTTCCAGGATGGATAAATGCAAAGATATTGTCAAAAGATCCTGTTCCTCTCATTTTAAATCTATGAAAGGCTAAATCTCTTTTAGTTCTGTGATTTCTTTAATCAAAAATGCTTTTTTTTTTAAAATAAGGCAGCTCTGAGAAATTTAGCTTCCCAAGACCAAACAGGACAAAATCCTTTGTCAACAACAGCTACTAAAATCACTGTGTCTTTTCATTGGCAACTGTTCCAAATTACAATCCTCTGAAAGAGTATTAAAGTCATAACAGGAGTTTCCAAACAATTCATTAACTGAATTAACATAATAAAATTAGAATACAGAAGTACCTTTAGTTCTGCCTAATTGCTCAATTAACATTTTTCATATGCTGAAAAAGGATAATAGCATTTAACTAATAATATATGTCCTAAAACGAAATATGATCTAGCCACATAATCAACATGCCCCAATTTACATCACTTTCTACTAGGAAGCTTTTCAAATTGTCTATGTGGAAGACTGGCAAATCTTCTAAATTTTCATGGCCAGAACTAAGAAGAAAGGGCTCACAAGGTGGAAATGAAAGTGCAATACCTCGTCTTTTCCTGTAAGCAAGGTATTTTCCAAAACTACCCCAGTTTCTGAAACCAACACTTTCACTCGATATTGGTTAATGATTCCATTTGGTTGTCGTGGTTTTCTCCAAGTAATTCTAATTTCTGTGGCTTCTACATCTGCTAGTTGTAAATCAAATATTGCACCTGGAACTAAAAGAAAAAAGGGTGGGCCTTAAAAATACATTTTAAAATAAAAAATATTCCCTAACTACTTAGCTCATGATTTAAAATATGTAATCAATTCTATAAGAAAACTAACTAAAACAATTTACTAATTTATTAAAAATCAAATATAAGAGTCTCTAAATATATGGACATTTGAAGTTAAATATCTGCACAATTTCCTCAAAATGTAAATAAAGGGTAAGATAACATAAAATAATTTTCCAAAATCAAACTGCCATAGTATTTGGTTATAACAAATTAATTCATAATAATTTTCCCTGAGAAGCTATCTGTGAATGTTAATGCCCAATTGAAACCTTGAAGGCTTCATAAAAATTATAATAATATATCAAAAAATAATATCCAGAATACTTCAAAAAAATCATACAATAAATTCAATTAAGCCATCTTTTAATTTATTGCAGGAAAATTTGTGAAGAACTGATTGATTTTTTTCTGCTGAATTTTCAAATTGGTTATGTGAGCCTCAAATTTCAAGTGGCTTCATCCTTTGTAGTAGTAAAAAAAAAATAGGGATAAATTAACAATTGGTTCAAGACAATGCACCACAGGCTTAAAGCAAACTAGTTATAAAATCATCCACAGTGACATTTGGGAAATCTCCCAGTGCCCCAAAAGTAATGAACCAAAGATAAACATGTCCTGGGCTTTTGACTACTCTGTTTATAGCTCATTATATAATTACAAATAGCCTTCTGATTCTGACTTACCTTATCAATAATGAGGCTAAAATTTTATCTTTCCTTTAACCACACAAGGCTACTATAAGGAATAAATGGTTCAAGGGAATTTCCAACATGTAGGTTCAAGAAAGAGAAAAAAATGCCATACAAATATTATCCCTTATGATTTATCTTCCTAAGCTATTTGACAATGGGATAGGTATAGCAAACTCTAGTTAGAAGAAAGAGACATTGTTTAAAAAGGAAACAGAAGAATGACTCCATTCCCTTTAAGACTGTAGAAATAAATTAAAAATAATACCACAACTCCCATAAACAGCACTTACAACTAGAGAATATAATTATGCTTAAATTAATCATGTAGTAAATTATAACTATGGAATTCTCATCTGATAGATTAAGAGGTTTTTCTTTGTCTCTGTTAAATAACCAGAAAAGAACCCTCCTAGATATTGTAACCATATAAATATTTCTAAATATTTCATGGATAGTTTGTGGCTAAGTGTATGAATTAACCATTCTGGTGGTCAAGATTCCAGTGCCCAGCATGGACAAAACCCATGTTTAAAACTGAGAGACAAACATAAAATGGGTGCACCTACAATTTGCTAACAGACAAACATAAAATGGGTGCACCTACAATTTGCTAGTTCTTTGAATTTGATTTTCTAAAAACATTTCAGTCTCTGAATATAGAAGGATAACTCTTTAGATGATCTCCTCCCACGGATGTTTTAATCTCACAGAAAAATACAATTTTCTGTGGAAGGATACAGGAAACTTCTCTATCCATCCTGGGACTAGAACCCCATGACAAGAGTCACTAGCTCATCATTCAAAAGAATGAATGCTCTTCACATAAACACTGCTGTAGGTACCTGAGAAGAGGAGAATGAAGACAGACAAAATCCTATTACAGGCTACATCCTATAAAAATTTTATTTCATTAAAATATACCTAGTACCTATATTCCTATCACTATTTTTGCCCATGTACTTTTCTCAATGGTAGAAAGACTTTCCCATTAATTGTGGAAATAATACAGCTATTTAAATAGCAAACCTCCCATTCCACCTTTCTTTTACACATTATTTTGGGGTTACTATGTAGAAAATATCTTAGCCAGCATTGCATAACATAAATCATACAAGATATTGGGCATTTTCACACCTAATTTGAACTGACAAAAAATCTTAACTAAAAGCCAGTTTAATGACTACATTGATCAGATTAATCAGACAACTGAACTGTACCTATTGAAGAATAAGTGAAATGGTCCAAACCTCCTGATGTAACACAGTAATGTGGTAGGAGGATATCAAATATACTCAGTAGAGCAGAATATATATATATATATTTGTCGTCTTGTTTTGCAAGCCAGACCTATAAATGGTAGCAAACATTGTTTATCTTTTATATTTTTCAATAAAACAAGTATTGTCCCATGATAACTAGTACCTCAAATTAAAATTCAAGTAAGGATTAAGTGGTTCTATATTTTCCTATGAGGGGGGAAAAGCTCAGAGGATAAAGGAAATGGAGTAGACAGCATTGTATCTTGTCTTCAGAAAGATACTTGATCTGTTATACCACAAATTCTTACAGAGAAATCAGAGAAGCATGGATTATATCTAATTCCTTTAATATTGATACAAAATTCACTAAAGAAAACCAAACACATAAGACGATTAGTCATGGTGCAGCATCAGTTCTGAAAGTGTTGCCCACAGGGAATACCTTAGAGTCATTACCAAGTCAACACAAAATCTTACTAGTAAATGAAAAACAGAATAAATATATGATTGGCCAAACATATTCCAAATGGTCTGAGGTTCTCAAATGAAAAACTATTGCAAGAAATTTAATAGGGACAAATAATATTCTAGCAAATAAAATACACTATATAACTTTTTTCATTTTCTAGCAAATTAAACTCCTATTAGAAGAGCATTTCAGGAAAAAAGTATTAAAAATAAAAGCATTGGAAATCACAAAATTGACAGGTTCTCAGTGTTTCTCCAACAAAGATTTTACTACTATTTTGCAATTACCAAGGACAAAAGTCTTCAATCCCATAGTTTGTTTATGGGAGAAAATACACATTTCAAAAATGTGTTTGATTTTAAAAAATACTGACCCTACTTATATTTGACACCAGTGACAGAGAAATTATTAGGCTATACTGAAGCAATAAATTTATGTATGATTTTTTAACTTCCATACAAATAAGAAAATGTTGTTGCCTGTGTTACATTTATCAGCATTATCTAGTTTTAGAATTTGCAACTCTATGACATTTTATAACACTGGAGATTATTAAGTTATTGATTTTTCTCCAAATCATCTCTATTTCTTGCCTATGTAGATATCTACTCAGTACATATCAGTATATAATATATATTAAATAATATATGTATAAAAATCTTAGAAAAAAGATAGGGTAATTTTATAACAGGAAGTTTTTTGGTTTGTTTTTTGGCTTCTAGGGATTTAATCCAGGGACACTTTACCACTGACCTATATCTCCAGCCCTTTTTGCTTTTTATTTTGAGACAGAGTCTCACTAAGTTGCTTAGGGCCTCCTTAAGTTTCCAAGGCTGGCCTCGAACTTGTATCCTCCTTCCCAAGTTACTGGGATTACAGGTGTGAGGCCAGAAGGAAGTTGATTTGTTTCTGATGAAGTAGACTATGGATCATAACATCCTCAGCAATAAACCCTCTGCAATATGAAAGCACACATTATTCACTATACAAGGTCAATTCAATGTTTGTCTATGAATACTTGGAGCTTTATCAGAATCCCAGTTGTTTGAAAAGGTATTAATTTTAAACAAGAAAACTAGTCCTAATTATTTTTTAAATAGACTGGAGAGTACTTTTAAATATGGGAAATAAGTTAACTTGAGTAACCTTAATTACAATACAAGGAAAATAATGATTTAAATAAATTTTTCATTTGTTGTTGGAGAAATAAATGAAAAATAATAATCTAAAATTAAGATACCAATTTTAACTGGATGCAGATAGTTCTAATGAATTATTAGATTGTTCTCATATAGTTTAAAGATTCCCTTATTTCAAACTTTTATTATTGGGACCAAGATTAATTATTATTGTCAGAAGCATAAAGAGTCACTTGATAGTTTTGCCAGAGCATTCCATTGAAGCAAAGCCTGAGGCTGAACAATCCCCCCAGAGAACTTCATGGAGGAAGGTGGGCATTAAGAGGTAAGATCCAAGCCTTTCCTGCTCTTAGTGGAGCCCACCTGTTATCAAAGGGCTCCCCTGAGATCCACCACAGTATGGTCTCCATAACCAGTAGCTCAGGAAGGTAGCAGGATGAAACTCAGGACAAATTGCTTTTTTTACAGGGCAAATAGAGTCATCTGTTCAAGATGATTTGGTATGAAAAATAGCCCATATGAGAAGCATTGAACAATGTCTTTAAAGTTCTACTTATTTTGTGAATAAAAAATATGGAAACAAAGGGAAATAAATTTTTAAGTGATATCCAAAGCAAACACATAGCATTACATGTGATCATATATTATCTAGTTCTCTGTCTTTGTCAAATGGTTTAGGCCAAGAATGATAATGATAAACAATTATCTTAAATTAACAGATTCAGTTTAGAAGCAACAAAATCAGCTGGACCTGAAACAAGTCAAAAATTTAGGATGTATTTAATTGTATAATATAAGAATAGAAATTAATGGGTCAAATAGTTGGTTGAGAAAGTGCTATTAAAACCAAAGTCCAGGAGTCTGCAGTATTTAATAGCCATCCATAAACATGTCCAGCTTACGGAGAAATTCTTAAGAGCAGTTTTTACATGGAGATAAGGCAAAAACTTAAGGTCTAATGGGAATCCACAAAAAAACAAGATTCTTCTGATAGACACTGGTAAAATTTTAGTATGAAAAAGTGAGAGCATTTTCCTATGAGTATGCATTCCTGGACATTAAAATTTTCATTTGGGAAAAAAAACACTTTTTTTTTTTTTTGCATTCTTTACAAACTCAAAATATTACCAAGGTTTGTTTCTTTGAAGGGGAAGATGTACAAAATTTTCTAATGGTTGGTGCCCTCTAATGGTCAGATACTTGAATGATTTATCTGATGAATGCATGCCCAATTTAGTGTGTGTGTGTGTGTGTGTGTAGCCCCACAAGTGTATATTTAACATAACAGTTATTGTGTATTAGCTCCCATACCAATAAAATGTGGAAAGAATTTATTGTCAAAATGATTTTTAAAAGAATTTATTATAAAATGATTTTATTATCAATAATTATAATCTCTAAATAGAAATGAAGATATTTAGCAAGTGTAGTGTGAGCCGGGAAAATGTTATGAAATAGTATAATCAGCATTTTCTAAAACAGTAGAATTCACCTAAGTAATCATGCTTAAAAAATAAATGAGAAAATTTCTTGATTAGAAATAGTATTTTGATAATTTTAGTAAATGCTGGTAAATCTGTATTAGGGACCCATTAAGAATCCTCACTTGCTTAGAATTCCCTTTGATTATAAACAGTTTGTTAATAGGCATTGAGAATATAGAAATTCCTATGAAAACTACTTTTGTGAAAAAAAATTCCACCATAAACAATGTGGTTAAACAACATTAAATGTGTTCATTTTAAGTTATGACTTCTTCAGGTTTTGCCCAAATTCATTGTGAGTTCCTAACAGACTAAAACTGCATATATGTCTTTATCTTGTTTGATATTTGGCTACTTTTATAATGAAGTATGCTATAAGTTTAATGTTCTGGAGAACGTATATTCAGAGCAAATTAGGTAAGAATTTAAAAAAGAAATAATGCTGGGACTGGAGTTGTGGCTCAGAGGTAGAGCACTTGCCTAGCATGTGCAAGGCCCTGGGTTCAATCCTCAGCACCACATAAAAATAAATAAATAAAATAAAGGTATTGTTTCCAACTACAACTAAAAAATAAATATGAAAAGGAAATAATGTTAATTAAATATAAGCCAAATTGCTTTATTTTTACCAATTCAATAAAATTGATAAGTTATCAAAAATATCTCATTAACTCCCTAAAAGAGATACTCTTACCATCTGGAGGAGTAAATATGGAAAGATTTGACTTGGGTCCAACCCCTGCATTGGTTTCAGCAGCAACATAGACATCATACAGTGTATATGGTGTTAAGTTAGTGAATGAAAATTTAAGGTCTTTTGTGCTATTATCCAAAATACGACCTACAAAAAAGCAGAAGATGCCTATGGATTATTTTTTGTCAAGCATGTAATCATTCTCATTTTTACATATAGAGCCAAGGACAATAACCGAAGTGTTAACCTATATAGTAACATTTGTTATTATAACATGAAAAGTGAATATATTTTAAACATTTGGCTTAATTGTAGATTGATACTACTTTAACTAAAACAATAAAAAAATCATGAAAATAATCCAGTGTTTAAAATTACTTTTATTGTCATAAAAATCTGTTGGATACCATGTTATTTTGGACATATTTAAGAGAAACACCAGATTTTATCAACATAAAAATAGTGACAGTATTTCATATTCAATTTATTCAATGTCAATGCTAAATTTTCTGTAAGAAGATATCTGTTCTGGAAGAAGATATATTTTGAAAATATTTCTAGCTTGACTTGTGAACAAAATTTTTGAATAGTCAATCAGCAGAACTCCTTAAATCCTCAACTTTACCTCTGATTATTTCCTTCACCTTTTTCTCTAATTGAAACCTGCATGTTCTCTAAGTACACTTGCTTCTGTTCCTCTGTAGCCACTCACAAACAGTAGCAGTCTATTTTTTTCACCACAGGTCTCATGATTAGGCTTCAGGTGTGAGAGATATTCTACCTGTTCCTTACTGACCCACCTGGGACCACTCCTGCTGCCTCCTTATAAACCCCACAGCTTTAAACCCCACATCATCAATGACATCTCCTAGCCCTCCAGGTCTTATTCTAGGTGGTTTAGCTCTTCGTTGAATGCTGCCATTTTAATTTGTGGTGATATTAATATCCTGAAAGATGATCACTAAATCATGATGACTTCTCCATAATATATTTCTACATCCTATCTCAGCTACTTCTTCTAGGCCATAAATTAGCACCACTACCAATAAGTATAAATCATCCATTAGCTCTATTCCATGCAACTGTTTTTGACCACTTTTCTATATCTCTTCTTCACGTATTCTAGGACCTGAAACAACAATTCTCTAAGTGCACTGAAATTTCCACTTCAATCCCTTTATCTTACTACCTATTTTATTTTTCATTTTGTTTAGTCACCATTTGATGCTTTATCTAGCCTCATTCACACACTCTAGGACCTGAAACAACAATTCTCTAAGTGCACTGGAATTTCCACTTCAATCCCTTTATCTTACTACCTATTTTATTTTTCATTTTGTTTAGTCACCATTTGATGCTTTATTTAGCCTCAATGTCATAGTCAAATGCAATGGCTGCCTTATAGAAATTCTCATTTCCCTTAAACTTCTCTTGTTGAAGGAACTGAAGAAAAGCACAATAAATACCATTTCAACTGACCCTATATTGTTATCTTGATCCAATTCCTGGATTAGATTCCATTCCATTTAAAAAGACGTTAACTTCTGCCTATGCAATCATCATTCCAACAATTCTCATCTTTCCTATTATTTTTTCTTTCTTTTCAGCAAACAAACATGGTTTATTTGTTCCTAATAAAAAATCTGTTGACTCTGATCACCCTACTCATACTTCCCACCTGCATTCATGACTTCGCTTTGCAGTGTCTATATCCTCTGTTTCAATGATCTTCTCCTATTCTTTCTGAAAGCATTTCAATGGTTTCAGGGTGGAGTATCACCATAATTGCTCTTGCCACAATCACTAGTGATTTCATATTGCTAACTGCCATAGTTGCTAAATGCATCTTAAAATATCAGCCAGTCTAAAAAGAAGAAAGTTTCCCTCAGTAAAGTTGTGAAAAATAATATCCGATAGAAAAGATGTATCAGAAAACTATCATTTTTTTAAGGAACCACACATATTTCAGAATTTTAGAAACATAAGTTACTGAAGGATGGAAAATAGAGGTTGCTTATGTGTTTCATACCATAGGAATTTCAAAATGAAATGCTTTGGAAATTTGGATCTTTTTTGATTGTTCCAAATAATAACAATATGTAGATTTGTGTTGTTTCATCATTATTTGAAGGAAATTTCTTTCATAGAACAAAAGGTTCTCAGATTAAGAAAGAATTTTAGAGTTTCTTTAATTCACGTCCCACAGTACAATATTTGAACTCCCTAAATTATTTGTAGCAAGTGATGAGGTCCTGTTTGTTTTCAATGGATAAATTGTCATCTTGTGATGTTTTCCAAATTATTATTTTTAATAGACTTCATTTTCAGAACTGTTTTAGGTTAACAGTGAAGTTGAGCTAAAGGTATAGAGAATTCCCATGTAATTATCAAAGCACAATGATGATTAAAAATAGATTCATTATCCTAAGTAGAAATTTGATTTAATATAATCTAAACCCATTGTTCTTCATGAATATAAATCAAGGTCTTGGACTGGAGCTGTAGCTCAGTGGTAGAGCTCTTCTTGCCTAGCATGGGTGAGGCACTGGATTTGATCCTCAGCACCATATAAAAATAAACAAATAAAATAAAGGCATTCTATCTATCTACAACTAAACAAAAATTTCTTTAAAAAATAAGTCTTCTTGTTTAAATACCTTGAAGGGTCATATCTCCTCCAATGCTTCCTTTCTTGGGGAGTAGTCTCTAGTTTCTTTACCTCCACATGAATAGTGGAGGTAAAGGAACTAGAGTTAGACTCACTAATGGTTTTAAGCAAAAAAGTCCAAAGGACTTCCTTGTTATTTTTTTTTTTAATATTTTCCTCAGGTTTAGTGTTTTTAAAAAGGAGGTTGGTAGTTTTTAAATGTTTGATACTAGTAATGCATTTAACAATTTTTACTCCAAAAGGTAAACACAAAATCAATTAAGACTTACCTGACGGCCCATATAATTCAACTCTATAACTAAACTTCCCTGTTACTATACTTGGTGGGTCCCAAGAAATTGAAAAGGACTTTCCTGTAACATTGCCCGCTATACAGTTTTGTGGTGGTCCTTCAGGCACTGAAATTATTATAGAAAAAAATGAACATATAATACATATTTTAAATAAAGGAATATCCTATTAAATACACATAATAAGACATAAAATCATGGAAAAAAATCTAATAGCAAAGCGTTTTTTAACATACAGGAAAAATAGAGTATAATTAAAGAATTTGAGTAAGACTTGCTGAATCATTAGATTAACTTGTAAATATACAACAATTATTAATTTTATGTAGAACTGTATGTGATTTCACATGTAATTTCATTCTTATATTCACTATAACATTCATAGTAAATGCTACATTGTCATCAAATATATATACCTGCATATACATCCTATTTGACAACATCTGAATATCTGCTGATGAACATTTTCTGTTGGATGGATAGGTGAAAGGGTCAAAAAATAACTCTCAGAATTTATTGGCAATGATCTTTACTGTTTAGTACCAATATCTGTCTTTGGTTCTGGGAGCAAATTTACAACACACTGTTACAAGATTCAACTGTAATACTCATAATATATAAAAGTAATAATAACATTTTAAAATATCTAATTTTCACAGCTATTTCAATATCTTATTCTCTTTTACTTGAAATGAAACAATTACAAGTGTTTATTCAAAACAAAATTCTTGTTTACAGATTTTATTTTATGTAATACTAATGATTTTTTTTTATATTTTAAAAGAAGTAACAAGTATAGGGTTGGGGTTGGGGTTCAATGGTAGAGCGCTTGCCTAACATGTGTAAGGCACTAGGTTCGATTCTCAGGACTGCAAACAAATAAATGAATAAAATAAAGGTTCATCAATATCTAAAAAATATTTTTTAAAAAGAAGTAACACATATAGACAAAGGAAAGATTTGATTCAGAGATGATTATTTAAATTAAGAAAAAGTAATTTCAATCTTATGTATGATAGAAAATAATAGAAGCTGACAACAATATCACTAGGAAAAAAAGAGTATCCTTTAGTGAAATTATCCTGCTAATAATTTCCAGTATACACTAAAATTAATAACCGCAACTGAATTCCTGTTACTATATTATGACATACATAATATATCAGACATTTATTATGTATATGATATGTAAACTATATATATCAATATTATGATATGTATGAGTATTCATGTAGACATCATATCATATCAAGCATCTACAATGTAGATAATATGTATGCTAATGTGTAGATATTATGGTACTATGTCAGTAACCATATAAACTTATATACATATATTCAAGAATATAAATACTCAAACCTAAGAAATATGTCCTCTTAGAATTTATTTAATCCTAACACCATTATTTAATCCTAACAACACATTCATACTGAAGTTACTGTTTCCATCTCCATTTTTCAGATGAGAAAACTATCCTGCAAAGATGATATAAGTAGGTATATATTTGAGCCACAGCTTTTATCTGATACTGAATGGTAATCACATGCTAGTTCTGCTATTGCAGGTATTACTTCTACATCAGATAACACCCATAACATATTAAAGATGATTTAGAAAGGCAGAGTTGATTGTGAAAAAATTGCTGAGGTCATAGAATGATAAATGCTGACCATTGGATCATAGTTAGCAGCTGAGGAATCCTTCATTTCAAATCTTTTTGTTTTGTTTTTTGTTTGTTTGTTTGTTTTTTACATACTTAGTTTAGTACCATAATATAAAAGAAAATCAAAATTTTTAGATACTGCAGATGGGATGTTTATTATCTATTACCAGAGGGAAAACAGTTACGAAAAAGTAAAGAAGGTTAACAAAATAATCTAAATGGAAAACAGGAAAGATTATTTCATAAATAATTTAAATATTTTTTTCTAACCAAATGAAAGCATACCTGATTCTGGTGTTCTGACAATGGTACTATCAATATAACCTGCTTCAGTTGTAACAGCTGAAACTTCAAAAAGATAGGTTGTGTAAGGTCTCAAATGTGTCACTACAAAACTGATAGGCTCTTTCCACACAGAGCTGATCCTACTCCTCGTCAACGAGCTCGATGTATATGTGGTACGCGATGGAGGCGTGACTCTACCAAGGGTTGGAGAAGGGCTGGAGGTACTCCACAGAAAAGAGTCACTGTTCTCCTGGTGAGTAAGATGAACACCAATAGGAAAATAATGTGATATCACTGGGTAAACATACAAAAAAATCACTCCTGTCTTTTTCCTTTATATTCCAAATACTGATTGTCAGTGTGTGTGTGTGTGTGTGTGTGTGTGTGTGTGTGTGTGTGTTTGAGAGAGAGAAAGATTTTAGAAGATTATATTATGGGTAAATTTGCTATATGGTAATTAGTCCACTTATGTCTACAATTTTAGAACAAATATATGTATTATATTCTTTATACTTTAATCTTTCTTATGGGTGGTATTAAAAGTGGTTTAAAATAAAAGTAAAACTATAGTAGGAATCTTGAAAATTCATGTTAACAGTACAAGAGCCAAAGAGCTAAAATAATTTTAAGTATAACCACTTTATAACTGTTAACATCATTTTTTATCATAAGTCCTCAAAACATAACACTACTAAAACATGTTAGGTGTGACCATATGTGCATAGGCATGTGTGTGTATTAGAAACGTATCATAATTTGAAAACAAAGATTTTGAGATTTCTACAAATGATTTTTTAAAAATTGTTTTGTTTGAATGTTTCTCCATCAGTAATACCTCAATAATCACCAAAATGATTTTAGGAAAAGCATTATTATAGTACTTCTTGATGATTCTCTTTGATGATTAGAATGACAAATTGTTTTTGTTTCGTTTTGTTTTGTGTGCTACTAGGGATTGAATCTAGGGCTTTATGAACCCTAGGCAAGTGTTCTACCACTAAGCCACACCCCCCAGGCCTAAAAAAAAAATTTCTTTCCCCAAGGTATACACTATAAAAACTAAGTCTAACTCTTGCCAATTAATCCTTGCAAACTAAATTTCCTACATGTACAAATATAACCATTCCTCCAATCATCTTACACATTTCCTCCTCAGGGACTTAAAATATGTCCTCTGCCTGGAAGAGCTCCCTCACACCATCTCCATCTAACCTTTCTACATGCTTATCCCAAGGTGACTTCTTTCATGAAGTTTTATTCCAGAGCTTCTTTATTTTGGTACAGAGGATAAAACTCAGGAGTACTCAAGCACTGAGTCACATCCCCAGCCCTATTTTGTATTTTATTTCGAGAAAGGGTCTCACTGAATTGCTTAGCACCTCGCCCTTGCTGAGGTTGGCTTTGAACTCACAATCCTCCTGCCTCAGCTTCCTGAGCCTCTAGGATTTCAGGCATATGCCACAGCACCCAGCTTATTCCAGAGCTTCTTAAGAGCTTTTCATCTTTCTCCCAATCGCCTCCAATGATTCCTATAGATAAATGTGTGTCACATGACACTATGGCCTAGTAGTATTAGTAATGAGGTAAAAATGAGCACTTTGGTGAAATATATAGTATCCAGATGCCAAATACTTCAAAACAAACATTCACCTAAAACTTCCAAGGCACATAAGTGTTCCAAAATGCTTACATTACATTCTGGGAGTTTCCCAGTCAAGATGTCTTCTACTCTGACAGAGACGTCTTTCACTACTGTCCCACTCCTGGCATGTTTGACACTAATCTTGAAGCTGGTAATTCTGCCATTTGGTTGCCGAGGTAAATACCAAATCAAGTTTACTGCTGAGTAGTTGAAGGCCTCAACTGTGAGATTGACCACTTTTCCTGGAGCTGGGTGAATGAGAAGGATTGAAGAAAGGTAAAAGACACTGTTACAAAATTTAGAATGGCATTTATATACCTTCAGGATGTTAAATTTCCTTGCATTATGAAATTAAACATAAAAACAAATTGAATGGTCTACTTAAGTATAACTTCTAAAATTTCATTTGCTTTAGCCTAAAATTTTTAAAAATCCATTACTTCACCATTATTGAACAAATACATGCATTGGCAAAATAGTTCAAACAAATATGATATAATATTCAATCTATAGTTGTTTGTGAATATACAAAAAAGAACAAATTTCTTACTTCCTTAAATATATTGGAATTATGTATACTAATTAGATGTTGAATCAAGTGGCAAATTGAAACAATTACCCAAACATTTGCACCAGAACAACAGGACTGTTATAAAATATGTAGTACCTAACATCAAGTAGATAGATACCCGACCAATAGTTTGTGACTATTGTATGTTGAGCTTTATATACCTCAAATTTGGCTTTCTTTAGAATTATATCATACTTTGCATTTAATCATTAATTATAATAATAATCTGATAAATGGGCCAAAGACATGAACAGATACTTCTCAGAAGATGATATACAATCAATCAACAAATATATGAAAAAATGTTCATCATCACTAGCAATTAGAGAAATGCAAATCAAAACCTCTAAGATTTCATCTCACTCCAGTCAGAATGGCAGCTATAATGAAGACAAACAACAATAAGTGTTAGCGAGGATGTGGGGGAAAAGATCCACTCATACACTGCTGGTGGGACTGCAAATTGGTGCAGCCAATATGGAAAGCAGTATGAAGATTTCTTGGAAAACTGGGACTGGAACCACCATTTGACCCAGCTATCCCTTTCCTTGGTCTATACCCAAAGGACTTAAAAGCAGCATACTATAGGGACACAGCCACAATTATAGTAGCACAATTCATAATAGCTAAACTGTGGAACCAACCTAGATGCCTTTCAATAGATGAATGGATTAAAAAAAATGTAGCATATACACACAATGAAATATTACTCAGCAATAAAAGAGAATAAAATCATGGCATTTGCAGGTAAATGGATGGAGTTAGAGAAGATAATGCTAAGTGAAGTTAGTCAATTCCAAAAAACCAAATGCTGAATATTTTCTTTGATATAAGGAGGCTGATTCATAGTGGGATAGGAAGCAAGAGCATGGGGGGAATAGACGAACTCTAGATAGGACAAAGGGGTGAGCGGGGAATGTGATGATCATTATTATTCAAAGTACATGTATGAAGACACAAATTGGTGTGAATATACTTTGTATACAACCAGAGATATGAAAAAAGTGTACTCTATATGTGTAATAAGAATTGCAATGCACTCCACTGTCATATATAAATAAAAGAAAAAGAAAAAATAATAATCTGAATACTATTTTAGTTGGATGAGAACAGTATGAAGGAAAATTATGTTCATTAATTTAATGGTAAGATATATAAAGATATTATTTACTCTCTAGTAAATAATCAAGATCCTTCAGCTGGGCAAGAGGCTGAGGCAGGAGGATTGAGGTCAAAGCCAATCTCAGCTACTTAGTGAGGCCCTAAGCAACCCAGCAGGACCCTGTCTCTAAATAAAATATAAAAAGAGTTGGGGATGTGGCTCAGTGGTTAAGTGCCTCTGGGTTCAATCCTTGGTACAAAAAAAAAAAAAAATCTTCAACAGATAGAACAAATGTGATAAGTCACTTTGCAAAGAAACCAAAACGAAACCTTGGAAGTAAAATAGTGTATGATGGTAAAGGTGACTAGTATCATGATGACAAATAAGTAGAGTTTAGGTTTGCACTATAGTGAAGAATGCCAGGATACAACTTATAAATAAAAGCTGCATGAATCATTTGAGGTGTACTAGGAAGCTGGGCCCTGTGTGAACTAAATGTTAGTCAGTAGGAATGAAGAAACTTGAAGACGCTGCATTTTAGTGGAAAAAAAAATAAAATACAAAAATTATTGAGAATGATTACTAAAGGATGAAATAATGGAAGAAAATTTTATCTCTAAGAGGAATTGATAAAATGGAATTAAAATGTAAGAAGTGTAATGACAATATGGTAATTCTCTGATACTAAAGAGTTAACATTTGAATTTCTCTGGAGTAAGTAAAATATAATATAACAAAAAGAAAAATGTTAAATATATGATGCTGTGAAACTGCAAAATTAAAATTTTATCATAATTATTAATCATATTTAAATTTTCTTATTTGCATAATCTATGCATATAAGTATTCCTGAAATAGTTATATATCAATAACAAATTATATATGAGCTAACAATAAGCCTTAACAACAGTCATAAAGAACTAATCAAATTCAATTAAATCTGAAAAGCAATATCTACTAAGTAAGATATTTCTATTAACTTGTTTTATTTTTGCCTCAGTAAGACATATCTGGTGTATTTTCCTTTGTGATTTTATGGTGTTTGAAGATTAATTCCAACTCTTTTCTACGGTTGGCAGTCTTTCCCTATTTTAAATATTCTAGTTTTTACTTCTCAATTTTATGCATCAGAATTGCATTATTTCTTGATTATTTATAGGGTGAATTTATCCATCTTTATCCAATTAAAATTTAATACTCTATTGGGCTGGGGTTATGGCTCAGTGGTAGAGCATTCGTCTAGCACGTGCAAGGCCCTGGGTTAGATCCTCAACACCACATATAAATAAAAAAATAAAAGATATTGTGTCCAACTACAACTAAAAACTAAATATTAAAAAAAAATTTAGAAATTTAATACTGTATAGATGTTTTATCACACACCTGAAGGAAGTGTATAGATTGCAGACATGCATACATACACAAGCATGTGAAAGTATCTCCAACTTTCAAAGTATAATCTGTATAAAACATATCTTTTGAGTCATTAAGAACTGTAAAAATCTACACATAGTTTCAAAGTGGTTTTTTTTTGCATTTCTATTAGATAACAAGGTGCAAGTACTATTTTTAATATTTACCTGAAATGGAATTGCACAAAAAATTAAATGTTGGGCTTTTTTGAGCTCATGGATGGAATAATATCAATTTAGTGTAGGATCACTGGTTAATCTATATTTTCCTCATAGAAAGACAAATTACTTCTAATTTAAAAATAATAAATGCCATTTATTCCATAAGAATCTTCCCTAAATTTGTGTTTAATGGAACACAAATAACAAAAACAGGTAATTGCATGAAATATATTGGTGATTTCTGGTATAACTGAACATCTTCAAATTAAAAAATAAGCAGCAAGTCAGCAAAGAGACTCCTGTTCTAGCATTACTTTCACCATATCCTAGAGTTCCTCTACTTTTTCCCAATCATCAGTTGCCTGAGAGAGAACATCCCTACAAATTAGGTTGATTAATGGAAGTACAAAATACATAGGGATCAAACTCTGTCAAATTGAAGTTGTAGTCTGCTTGTACAATCTTCTAGCAGGAATCAAATCAAGATGAAGATTAACAAAATAAAACTAAATTCTATATCATTCAAAAATCATTCCAATTATTTCCCCTAAAACTGAAAACTGACAGATTTTTTTCTCTTATATCCTACTGCCCACTTAATTTTAAAGTGATTCTTTTTCCATTTTATTTTTAGTTGTACAGATAATCTGAAAGTCTGTGTTTAAAATCAACAGAAGTTAGACATCAAGAATCATTCATTTCTAATTTTAAATATTCTCCAGGTTCCCAACCCCAGTAATCTCTCATTACTCCTTCAAAGGAATTCAGCATCTGTTCACAGGCTTCTCCTGATGAGGTCTCAACCAGGAACTGGATCATAAAACTTATGTTTTTTTAACCCTGACTACTGTATCCTATTAGATACCAAAGGCCCATATAAACTTATCCTTTTGGCAGTGGACCATCAGAAGGTTTTTATCCTATTGACATATAGAACATTCAGGATTGTGTAACATTACAGAAATTGTTCTACAGAACTTTTCACCCACCTGACATATTACTTAGTAATACATGGATTTGTTTATCTTATCCCCCTAGAATATAAGCTCCATGGTGAACATTTGTTGCTGAAAGAAGAGGCCATCAGTTATGTAGTCATTCTTCTATATATTTGGTTCTAACAATTTGCTATTATAAATAAATAAAAGCACCTGCCTTTAATAAAAACTTATTTTTATAACAAAGCTTATGTTCTGGGATAATATATATAATAAAAATATATAAGTGAATGTGTAATGTTTCAGGTTGATCCAATGGAAAAAATATATATTTGTTGGAAATAGAGTCAGAAGGAAATGAGGGTTATTCTACAAGATGAAGCCAGAAAAATAACACATAGGATCTGAATTAGCTTGAGGAGAGAGTTCTATGGATATTTAGAGAAAGCACATCCCAGATAGGAGGAAGAGCAAGTGCAAAGGTCCTCTAGATGGAAAATCAGTGTGATTGGAGCAGATGGAGAGACAGTAGGAAATGAGGAAGTCAGAAAGAAGAAAAAGCATGCAACAGGGAAAGGACACAGGGTTTCATTCCTAATGCCATGTAAGGAAAACAGAAGTAACATAATCTGGCCTGTGTTTCAAAAGATGATGCAGCTCCTGTGGCGAGAGTTTGGCTGTAGGCAAGCAAGTTGGAAACAGGAAGACCAGTAAGGAGTTTTTCAATCATTCAGGCAAGAAAGTTGGTTGGAAAGGGTAATTAGCAATTAAGGGAAGATTCCGGATATTTTTTGATGACAGTGCTGACAGGAATTGCTGAGATTAAATGTGTAGTGTGAGAGAAGAGTCAAGCATGACATCAAGAGTCTTCCTCTCAGCCATTGGAAGAATGGAAGTGGTCTTAAACTGGTTTGGTAATGACTGCATGTCATGGAATGAAATGATAACCATTAAAATTCATATTTCCAAAAATCTAATGTCACAAAATGCTTATAATTTAATATTTACAGGAAAAGACAGGATATAAACTTATATAACTTGTACAAGCTAATATTCATTAATCATATATTCATACTGACATATACTCATGGGGAAAAAAAAGATCAGCCAGAATTGTACTAAAGTAATAATAGGGATTTTTCAGGATGAAAGGAGTATTTATAATTTTCATTGTGAGTTTTTCTTCTTATTTTTAAAAATTTTCCAAGATAACACTTAATTGACTTCTATAATCAGAAAGAACAATACATATTTAATGATTAAATTAATTATTACAAGAAATTAAAAGTAATGGAGTAGCCATGCTATTGAGAATCTTATACATTTGAGCATGATATTTTGTTTATATCCCCATTTACTTTGACTGAAACTCATGACAATATTATTTCAAAATAAATCATTTAGAAAAATGATTTACCACTTTCTGCAGTCTGGAAAAGAAAGGGATCACTAAATACTCCAATTCCAGCACTGTTTTCAGCAGCAACCTAAAATAAATCAAAAGGATTACGTTCAAATTTTTGCTCTCCAATTAATAATAATCAGAAATAAAACTCAGACTTGTCCATAGAGTAAATACCCAAATTGTCTTTTCCTCTAAGTATTACAAAATTTCCAAGGCAAATATAGCTATCCATAAAATCAAAACAGGAGGCACCATTGTCAATATTTTATAGATGAGGACACTGGTCAAGTCAGGTCAACAACTTGCCCCTGGTCACAGAGGAATAAATGGTAGAACAAGAATTGAGTGAAAGTTGCATTTTTTCCATAACTCAATCTTTGTCCACTATATACACTATATACATGAAACTATGATTATTTCTGTGACAAATATAAGACACCATTTATACTGTATTTGAATTTAGAGTTTACTCTCTACTGGGCAAATAAATACTGATGAAAAATATTTGTAAAATAATGAATATATTTGATTAATAATTATACTGAATATCCTAAATTTAAAAGGTATACATATTCTTTTTAATGAATTATAGTCAAATAGACTTGAACAATGCAATCAAATAGATATCAGACTTGAATAACATAGTCACACAATAAAGTTAATAGTAGACAGAAAAGTATATCATAATTGAGAATATAACTCAAGTTTTTGCAAAATGTCATCATTGCAACAAGACAACCTTGGTTTAATTATAGCTATACCAAGTCTCAGATGACTAACATTGGGCAGTTTACCTAACTATTCAAAGGCACATTGTTCTCATCCTTAAATTGGAGTAATAATGTACTTAAGTCATAAGAATGTTCTAAGACTAAGCAAAATAACATATGTAAAATACATAACAGGGTTTCCCCACAGTGTTGCTTATACCGAAGCTATCAAATGTACCATGCCAAATACCCATTGGAATTCTGCAATGGCTAACATTTATTTGAACAGAGTAAACGTCACAATGATGATTTATAAAGTGAGAGATGAAACAAGCAGTAGGGGCTGCCCTATAGGCCTGAAATAAGAGAATTCAAAGGAATAAAAATTCAGCCTCTATAAAAATAGATCTAAATAGAACTAAGTTAGTGATATCACTTTCTTCTCAACAATAGTTACTTATTTCACATTAAATTTAATATTTATTACACTAAGTAGCATATTTTAAACATAAGTTAACCTGAATATGTGCATGTTCCAAGAAAATACCTACATAATGTAATTTTCATAGGTCAAAATGATTGCCTATTCTTTAACTTATGCTTCTATGTGAAACAGCTATCACAATTTTTTTTTTTATTTTGACTTCTGCATAAACAAAAGTTTACTTATTTACTTTCTCACTGGGAAAATCCTACTATGGGCATGTGCTCTCCAGTTCAGTGTTCTTAATTCCAGAAATAGGCGTGTTTTCAATAAGGAAAACTTTCTGGCAAAATCTCGCCCATCATTTCTTCCCATCTAAGAAGAGCATCTCAGTTATATATGATCACATATTTCGCTTTCACAGATTTTCCTCTATGTATTCAATTATATTTAAGTCTCAAAAAACATATGGGTGTTATGTTGAAAATAGTAGGAAGACAAAAAAAAAATCTCTATTCTTTACTAGCCCTTGGAAATGTCATAGATATCCCTTAATTGCACATATTTTCATATGGCCTTACTAATTCGGACTGCTTTTTATAAGCTCTTTTTTATTTAGTATTTAATTAAGAAGCTGTTAGATTTTACATATTTAACATTGTAAAGAATTTGAAATGTCCATAAATACAAAACATAGTAAATGTTCAACAAATATGTGTTGAGTGAAATTGAATTGAATTTATTATTTTTAGTAAAACTGGCTCTTTAGAAGTTCTTAAACCAATACCCAAAATTTCAAAAATATATATGCAAATACAAAAGGGTAAGGAGAAAAATAACAGAGCTAACATTAAGATTAATCAAAAAGTACTATATTTTCAGACTAGGGATATAGCTCAGTGACAGAGTACTTGCCTAACATGCATGAGGCCCTGGGTTCAAACCCCAGCACCAATTTAAAAAAAAAAAGGAGAATATTGTCACTTGTAAAGCCTAAATTGCTTAAATTAAACTTATTTGTCATAAAAGGCACTGAACTAAGCTCTATAAAACAAGTAATGTCTATAAATGTACATGTAAACTAAAATGAAAAGAGATTACAACAAAGTTTTAAAATCTCAGGTGGGTGTTGAGGCTGTTGATTCAGTTTCTCATTCTTCAGTCACTGCATTCAGATGCAAGTCTTGACCAGGTGGAAAAAAACCTCCTTTATTTTTAAAATGAATAAAATATTAAGTAGTTATTTATAAAATAATTACCTTAATTTCATATGTTGTTCCAGGATTAAGGTTAGTAAGAAGAACTTCCAGACTGTCTGGCTTTGCCCTGACTTCTGTGTACACGGTTTGCATCCACGGGCATACCTCCTTATATTTAACAATGTAAGATATAATTCTTCCATTCGGGTTAGGTGGTGTGTTCCAAGAAAGAAGAATCCCAGCAGATCCAACTCTCTCCCCGGCTAGAAAGATTGGAGGACCTGGTTCTATTTTATTAAAAAATTAATTTTGTTAAAAGGTTAAACTATTATTGTATTTCCATCCCCCAAAAAATAGCAAGAAAAGTATTTACAAATGTAAACTACCAAAGTTCCCAAAGGTTAATATTAATTTATATTCCCTAGAGCTCTGCTACATGAATAAATATTTTAATAAAAGCTTTGCAGAATACCAAAAACATTCTTTTATAAGAATGCAAAAAATGTAATGCTACTAAATACTACATGCCAAATACACCTTTGATGCCAAATCATTTTTAAAAGAAACTTACTGAATGCAAGGCTTACGCACAAGAACCAAACAAACAAGAAACAGCTTGAAAAACTGAATAATCCTTTCTGAGCAAGAGCACTGAGCTTAATTTCATGGCTCTGTATTATTTAAATGTTACCATTAACAGTCTCTGATCCATTTCACAAACAGGTATAGAGTAATCATCTTTGCTCTTTAAAGGTAAAGGAAGCTAAAGAACCAGAAGAAAGCAGATTAACAAATCACTTTCTTAAGTTTCCATTTTGCTTTAATTATTCTAAACTGTTGCATGCATATAACACTCATACTGGAAATATAAGTCTATTCATGCAATTGCGTTTTACTGACTCCAAATATTTCATTAAAAAGTGATTTTAAAACCATATACTCACTCGTAACATTTGTTGTCACTGTTCTACTAACAGGTGAACTATATGTTGTAACAGAAATAGAAGAGATGGTTGTGTCATACCTAGTATTAGGAACAGCATCAGAAACATCAACCTAGAATACCAAAACCAAATAATCTTTATTAAAATTATTCCTGAAAAGTGAGCTAAAATAATAAATCTATTACTACCAAAACATTAACACTTCAACACATAACTCTGCACAGTTTAAAATACCACAAAACTTCCATATTATTGTAAAATATAAATTTGTTATGTCATGTAACTATTTACCAGATAACTTATAAAAAAACAATTTTACAAAGCATACTGAATCATTAAAGCTTAAATCAGTATTTCTATCTATCCCAGTTCATTATCTCAAAGAACAACTATTTAAGAATCTCTTAAAAATCTACAACCTGTTGCTCATGCCTGGCTTTTAAGAGTATATAAAATACCTGTGTCTCTGAAGTTCCAATAAAAAATAAAAGAAAAATGATAAGAAAATCCATCATTATTACATTTTTCAGGCAGTACAATCACATTGATGGCTCCAGAGAGAAATGTTGCCTGCATTAATGATTTAAAGACAGGTCCTCCTGGCAAGTACACAATTAATGAGCCTGGATTACTCAATAGCTCTGCCCTTTCTTTGTTAAACTATTCATGAACTCTTGGATGGCTGGCTGTAGGTTCAGGGTAGACTTGAAAAAAAAAAAGCGTAGCTGTTGCTAAGGTAACAGTCAACCAATGCTGAAACTGACACTCATCAATTCAACATTGTTTTTGTCTTCATCTTATGCTTTTAAAAACACTCCAAGGAGTAAGTTTTCAGAGTGGATGAATTTCATAAAGAACCTTACTACTAGGACCAAATATAAATATAAGCAGGCTGGCCAAGTACAATAATGAAAACTATACCTGATATTCTCCACCTCCAAGATCTTCGATAGTAACAAAGCCACTGTCAGGAACAAGATCCACATGATACCTATCCAAATGGTTGGAGGGCAGGCTCCAGCACAGAGAAAAGTGCCCTGCAGAAGTATTGAAGGCTTTAAGTTTCTAGGATTTTCCAGTTCTAATATTGAAAAATAGTGGTTTAAAAATAGAGTTATTCTAAAGTTCCAAAAAATGAAAATCAATAGTCTGAGGGTTGGGTTCCAAAATAATTAAGTGTTAGAAAACAGTACATCCTTTAAATTATCTCTTTGTATATCTGTAACACCTAGTTTTTAAGTACAATGATCAGAAATAATATATTAATTTATGTATCTATTCCTAGGATATCCCTTACTTGTTAAAAATCTGTTGAACATTTCTAAATGTTTATTCTCTAATTGAAAAATTGAATCATTTTAAGACAAAGTAAAAGCAAACTATCCAATAACTGGAAATTTACCAAACAGAAGATAGCTGGCAAATAATGGCCAAAATCCACCATTTTTTTCAAAAAGTAAGCATTTTTGATGAATATGTGGCTAGGAAAAAGCTAATTTTCATATTGGAAATTAAATACAATCATTTTTAAATGAGAAATACCTATTGTCCTAGCTATTTTAACGTAACTATTTCTACTTTGCTTCCACTGTTTTTCAAAATTTTGTTTATGCTGCCTGTACCTCCTTAAAGGGAGTTTTTCACATAAAGTTCCTCTGATTGGTTCCTAATGAGTCAGGTTTGCACTCTGCCTTATCTTCAGTACAGAGAGAGACTATGAAGCCAAGCATGTGAAAACATGCCTGATACAGACCCAATCTAACGGCAAAAGAAAGGAGTATGGAATTAATCATTGAATTCCACTTATTTTAAAACTCCACTACCATAGATTTGGCAATGGATATATTGGAAAAAGAAAATGTATATTTCCTTAACAAAATTGATAGGGCATATTATAAAAAATTAACACAATCAGCCAATTTCTTAGTATTTTAGAGGGAATATTTTGTAACAAGTTTTCTTCTATTTTCTTTGACAAATTCCCCTAATGCTTATAACATATCTTCTCCTTAGTACCTAAATCTGATATCAATTATTTACCATTCACTCCAATATTCTCAAAGATAAAGATATTCTCTTGGCATCATCCCCAGGTTTTCCATGTAGTGAGCACTGCCATTTTCTGGTAATTTTTTAGAAATATTGTAAACCCAGAATGAAAGATCAGAGGAATATCCAGTTAGTAATGGGTAGGCTTCCTTTCTTGTGCATAGCTGCTGGGGGTTTTTTTTCCTAGAAAATTCTGCACACATACATATTTCCTCTGTATTTTCAAGCTTAAGAAAAGAGGGCTTGATTCTCCTTACCAGCCCACATTGAAAAACAAAATCTACCATGAGGACCAGTCCAACCAGCTACTCCTCCCCAGGACTGATTTATGTGAAGGTTAACATTTTTTCATGGATCCCAGAAAGTAATTAATGTCTATGAAGCTTTAAGCAAGAAACTATAAAATAACTAGAGGAGATTTTAGAAGAAAAAGGAAGATGCAAGAAGTGAAAGGCTGATTACGGGGATGGTAGTGATATGGGACTTGGTTTCCTAGGCTGTGGTTTAAGATTACAGTGAAGGACTCTTGGCTAGGAATGAAATGTGTCTCACCAAGAGGAAGAATGTATTTGTCTGGAAATTTGCCAATCTGATTAAGATGAAAAGTCTAGAAGCTCACAGGAATTAAGATCTTTCTAAGCACAGTGGATAGAAGCACTAGAAATGGAAAAAAAAATTTGGAATAACTAAAGAAAGTCAAACCGAGTTTATGGGATCAAGCAAGAAAGTGACACAGTCTGGTGATCATGCAGACTATGTTTAAAGATTTAAATTTTTTTCCTAAATGCAATGGAAAGTCACTGAAGAATTTTAAGCAGGAAAGCAATCTGATTCATGCTTTTTGTTGTTGTTGCTCTTAAAGATCATTTTGGAATATGTATATGAATTGGGTGGAGACAAAAATGGCAGCAAAAGACTAATTAGTAGGATTTTGTGGTAGTCTAGACAGAGAGGTAGAGGGAGATGGAGCAATGCCAAAGTCATTATTGAGAAGTGCAGTTTCCTGGATATGAGCTTGAATATACCATTGACTAAAAGTAGACTCCATAATATGTGATATGCTCTTCATGGAATTTAATGTCCCCAAAAGCAGGTAAATACAAAGCAAAAATACTATTCTCGACCTAATTGTCAAGAACCAATAAAATCATATCATAAAGTGGAAATATCTGGAGTTTAAAGAGAAAAAATATCATCAAATCAAATTTAATTAGGGCTAGGAAAGGAATTCTACTCTTAGTTGTTTATTCAAGATTGTAATTTCCTAAAACCTAATCCTCAAATCTGATATCATTAAATAGATGTTCTGTGATCAAACCACTTTGTCAAATAACTCCTGTTTTAAGTTAAACAGCTTTCTTTTATTTCAGGATATTTCAGAGCCTTGGATATATGCCAGTGGGTCATGTGATTGACTAAAGCGGCACAGTCCACGAAAGTCACACAGGCAATTTTGGATTTTTGAGTAGCCATATTTAAAAAATAAAAAGAAACATGTAAAATTAATTTTAATAATAAATTTCATTTACACTAATATGTCAAAAGCATTATTTCACATACATCAATGAATAAAATGGTTTTGTGATCATTATCTATTTCCTATGTATCAACACTGTGAGCAGCTTTGAACATGACATTTAAATTTATTATTTCATGATATAATAAATACTATAACTGATAATGAAATCTCAGCATAAAGGCTTGTAAAATAAAAATTATTAACCCTGAACAAGTTAATGGTATAATGTGAACTGTGTTGAACACCTTTATATATTTTTATGTAACATTTATGACAGTTTCATATACTAGATCTGTAACTACTATTTAAAACTGGGGAAAATGTGAAACAAAGAATTTAGGTAATTTCACCAAATCTCATGCTAACAGGTTAATATTAGAACCAGGATTTAGACCCAGGAGTAATGTTGTCAAACTCCAGTCACTATGGCTATATGCTCTGTAACTTTCACAAAACAGCTAACAGCAGAAAATCAACAGATCCTAAATGAAGTAATAAATATTTTAGGGAGATTTAAGCACTAAGTAAGATGATCTACAACTTTCTTTTCAAGGCTAATATTATTATTTAAGTTTAATGCACACCATCTAAACATATCACGTGAAGGTAACATATATTTATCAAGTACCTAAAGCTTCCTCAGACTTTAGAAATGGGCTAGGTATGAATTATAAAGAAAATAAACATACTCAAATAAATCAACAGTATAACAAGTATAACAATGGTATAACACGTGGTACAGGGTCTAAAACATCATTTTTTATATAGGCACTGGGAATGAGCCTTAGAGCTAGATAACTGGATTCAAATCCTGCCACAAGACTTGAGGCAAAATAGTTAACCTCTCTGTACTCCACTGGCCTCCTGAATATGGGAATAATAATAATAGTCCTAACACATACTGTTGTGAGAAAAAATAAATTAATACATGTAAAATGTTTAGAAAAGTACCTTGAACATAGTAAGAGCTTGGAAAAGGTAAGCTATGGTTAATGACGACTGCCATTTCTACGTCTTCCTCTAAAATCCTGGCAATCTCTTGGTTAAAACATTGTGGTACCTCTTTCATTTCTCATGTTTAGCCCCCCTCCTCCTATCTATTCAGTGTTATGCTCAAAACAGTCCCTCAAGCATTGCCTCATTAGCAGTACTCTTCTCTTTAAAGTAGGGCAGTAAGATCTATTTCTGATCCAAAGACCATCTTTAGGGAACTATCTCCTCTTATACTCACTTTTAAGTCACTCACTTATAATATCTCAAAACCATCACTCAAACCACACTAAATAATCAGAAGATCAAGTTTCTAGCATTTCATAAAGTTCTCTATGTTTTTAACTAAAATTATCACTGATATTCCATGTTTTCTATGAAATGTTCCTGATAATGACATTACCTTGGTTGATTTTTCCTCTAACTAAATTTTGTCTCAGTGAGCAAACCCTGCCACTGGCACCAATAGCACTTCCTCCTATACCCATGCATAGGTGAGAACATTTTATCACACTCTCTTCAGTCTTTTATATCCAACCACTCATATCAGTGCTTACCACGGACTGATGCGATTTACCTCCTAGGGGACTTCTGACCATTTTTGAACACAAATTCTGATTGGCACAATGGAGACGGTCCTGCTGGCATCTAGGGAGGAGAGGTCAAGGATGTTGCTATATATACTACAATGCACAAAATATGGTCCCACAACAGAGAATCACTCAGGCAAAAAGGCCAATGGTGCTAAGGTTGAAAAGCCCTGCTGCAGACTAACACTTCAAGGATGGGTCTAATTTTAATGTGTTTGATTGTATATTTTACCCACTGTAACATCTAGAAGAAAAAGACGTTTGACGCTTAATTTAACATATGCTGGGAGCCATTAGCCAAGTAGGTATGACAATTTCCTTGCCAGC